CGAAGTCGAGCACGTTGGTGTTGGACGATGTGGATGATGTAGAGCAATTCGAAGTCACTGGTAATGCACTCGGGGGGAAGGGTCCATAAGGGAGTGTTTTGTCTCTACTGGGGTCCACTGAGACGATAGTAAAGGCTGTAGGGCGTTGCTAGAGGACCTGGTCTCATGTTGTGATTGCTTTCAGTTCGAGCAATGCTGACTGTGGGCATTTCGGTCGGGGAGATCAACTCTATTATGAACATCATCGCTGCAGTCCTCAGGCTTGGCAATGTGATAGTTACCGTCCCAGAGTAGTAGGTGGTTGACTTTAGTTGTTGGTAGATAAGGTTCCGACCTCCCAATGGGGACAGTGATGCATCGGAGTTGGACCCAGCAAGCGAGAAGGATTTCCTCTTGCTGATGAGACTCTTGGGCTTGGACGATGCTGAAGCCTTCATTAGGGCTCTCACGACCAAGACCATCACTACTCGTATGGAGGTGTATCACACGCCGGTCAGTGTTCACACTGTAAGGAAGGCTTATGGGGGACGGTTGTTGAGGTTGTTGTTGTTGGTGGTGGCAGGCGGTGGAGTCTTGTGACTCGTTGGCTAGGCAGCTGTATGGGTTACTCTTCTTGAGGGTGGTCTCTCGTACGAACGACTCTATTGGTAATATGGGGAACCATTTAACTTTGAGAAATAACGTGATCTAGGATTTGATAACACTGGGAGGAAATGCGTATAATGTGATGACATTTACATGGGAAACTCATCATTTTTCGGACCATGTGGAGAATTAAAAATGAGTTCTCCTCGGGAACAGTATAGGTTTGTGAATGATTCCTCGGGCGTGTCATTGTGATTGTTATGTGGGATAATAGATGGTGGTGACTCGTGGTGACACTGGAGTGCTCATTGTGGGGTGTCCTTATGTAGGTTACGATCCCAAGGCAAACCTTTTCTGTGGAGTTTTGGATATTTTCGGTTTTGAGTGCTTCAAACAGAACTCATTCGAGCAGTTGTGCATCAACTACACCAACGAGAGGCTCCAACAGTTCTTCAACAATTTCATTTTCAAGATGGAGGTAACAGGAAAGGGGAGATGATCTAGTGACAGTTCTGGAAATTATCTATTTTCTGACAGGAGCAACTTTATGCTGAGGAGGGTATCGCGTGGGACCCTCTGGACTTCCCCGACAACCAGGACGCTGTGGACCTCCTTGCAGACTCTCGAATGGGTATCTTCTCGTTACTTGATGAGGAGTGTGTTATACCCGGCGGCTCCGATAAGAACTTCTGTTCGAAGCTGTGTCATCGGTATAAGGAGCATCGGAGGTGGGCTTGCTGTAGTGATGGGGGGAGGGGTAGTTGGTCGTTGTAGGTTCGATATTGTTAAGACTAGACAGGATTGCTTTGTGGTTAATCACTTTGCGGGGCCGGTGGAATACGACACTGAGGGCTTCATGGATAAGAATAAGGACCAGGTACTGGGGATGGTGACACGGCGAACCCGAGTGTCACCGTGATGACCTCAGATGTCGTATTCGTTGTTTAAAGTGATGAAGGGGTCTTCATCGGATTACGTGTCAACGTTATTTACGGAATATGAGGATACGAAATTCCAAGATCCTGATTCGGCCCCCAGCGGGAAGTCTAAGAAGAAGCTAACGACGATCAGTGGGGAGTTCAAGCAGCAACTAAACGAGTTGATGGTAGTACCCTGGAGGGCCCATTGGGGCTGCTTCTTGTTGTTGTTGTTGTTGTTGTTGTTGTTGTTGTTGTTGATGATGATGATGATGATGATGATTTTCAGGAGACGGTGAGGGAGACGGAGCCCCACTTCATTCGGTGTATCAAGCCTAACCCTATGAACCTTCCGGATGTCTACGACCGCCCCAGTGTTTGTGAACAACTCAGATATGGCGGCGTCCTACAGGTGCTGAGAGGAAGGGATAGGAGATGACGTTTCGTTGGTCTCGGGTAGAGGAGGCTTCTATGTGTGTGTAGGCTATCCAAGTGTCTCGAGCGGGTTACCCTGTACGGATCTCCCATGAGGACTGCTGGCTCGACTACATGCAGCTGGTGAAGGGTGGGTCCTTAGGGAAGCGTTATTGTGAAGGAGAGTGTGGTGGTTGCTAGGCAATTTGGCGGAGTATTCAGCCGAGGAGGACATGTCGAAACGGTGCCTTAAATTGCTCACGACGGTGTCTACGGTAGGAGGGGGTGGAGGGATGTCTTGGGAGTCTGTGTGGTCTTGGTCAGTCCTTGGGTATAGAAGAGGGCCTGTGGGAGGTGGGGAAGACGTTGGTGTTCTTCAAACAGAAGGCATTCGATGCCCTACAGGTTGGTTCTGATGCGAGCTCTGGTCTAAGGTGTATTCTCAGAATGCTCGTATGCATCTGCGTGCGGAGGCGGCCACAAGGATCCAGGCTCAGTGGAGAGGGCTGAGGACTCGGGCGTGGTATGGGTTTGCGATAATATGTTTGGTGAAGATGCAGGCCCTCGTACGGGGCAAGATGGCTAGGATACGCGTGGCCAACATGAGGCGGGAAGTCGGTGCTCTTAGGATTCAAAGCTGGTCGGTGTGGTTACCATTGTGATGGTGATTATAGGGTTGTGACAGGTGGCGTATGGAGAAGCAGAGAATTGCGTATGAGGATACACTACGGAAGGTCATCTTCATTCAAGCGGTTCAGCGTGGACGGATGGCCCGAGTGTTTGCTAAGGAGGTAGGGAGAGGGAGGAGGTGGAGGAGGAGGAGGTTTTCGTCTGTGTCAGTATCGCATTAATACAGCAGCAGCAAGGATCCAAGCAGTGTGGAAGGGCTGGCATGTTCGTCGGCAATACTGTGCTCTTCGTGCTAGTGCCTTGGCGGCCCAGAGGCAGTTCCGGATGAGGGCGGCTAAGATGCAGTTGAGGCGACTCAAACAGGAAGCGAAGGTGGTTGAGTGGAGAGGGGCTATTGAGATCAATACTGTTGTTGTTAGGAAGTGGGATCGTTGTTGGCCAAGTATCAGAATGCTCAGGCTGAGGTTACTATGGTGAAGAGGAAGCTGGCAGAGACGGAGGCCTTGCTGCTGCAGTCGAAGAGTGAGAACCAGCAGTTGAAGGTTGGCAGAGAGGTAGGTGCAGTGCTGGAATATATGTTGGCTTTCCTCAGCTGAGCACAGGAATCTCCTCGTTAATTATAGGATTTTGTAGACGAATTCGGGGTAGAAGTGTACGGAAACCGCCAGGAATTTCCCAAAAATTTCCTCGGAATTTTCACACATGTAGTTGACCATGTGCGAATTCCCCACAGTGATAGGGTGTATTGGTTTTGGGGGTGTCAGACTTTGAGTCAACGAATAGTCGTGTTGGAGGGGCAGCTGGATGCAGCGGTTAAGAAACATGAGGAGGAGATGGAACAGTTGGCATCGCAGCATACTGATGAGTTGGCAGCAGTTGGAGGTGAGAATTGCGGGGTGCCGGGATCGAACCTGGGATCTGTCTATCTTGCAGGTGCTGCTGCCTTGGTGGGAGGAGCTGTGGCTGGTGGGGCTGGTCTATCGATGTCGGCGAGTGGTGGGCCTAATGCTACCGTTGCGGGAGGCGCTGCTACGTTGTCGAGGGTATCGTCACCACGCGTGTCACCAACGACGAGCATCTCTAGTCCGACCATGTCTGCGGTAGCGGCGTTATGAACGAACTGTGTTTATGATGGATCCTTGTGGGATTCCTGTCAGGCTGGGCTGGAGACGGCTACTGTGGCAAGCGGCGGGGAGGCTGCTTCGGTGGTACGGCTGAGGCAGTCGTTGGTGGATGCCAATTCGAAGAGTGAGGGGTTGGAGAGTGAGAATGAGAGGTTGAAGCAAGAGCTAGCTCGGGTCAACAAGGAGAGGGAGGTGAGAGATTTTTTCATGCGGAAGGTCGTGGGTTCGATCCCTGGAGGGTGGTATGTTTTTTTCAGGAGTCGGAGGCTAAGTACCAGACCATGTTGAAGAACACAGTCTACCAGTCCCAGGCGAGCACCCACCAGGGCCCGGCCCAATCACGAGCCGTATCGGATGCTACTGGTCTGGGCGCGCGCAATGTTGACATCCAGCTGGTCGGACCCCAGGGAGTGGTAAGTGAGGACAGCAGCGTATGATGCATACTAAGATGTTGTTCTTATGTAGGGGAAGTCGCCGTTATTGGCCGGCCTCATCCAGCAGCTTGACCCCAGCAAGATGGCGGAGTTTGAGAGGAATCGTTCGAACTTGATGGCGCATTATCAGCTCCAATTCAAAGACAGCGGCGGTCGGGAGAGGTGGGGGCGTCAGCAGCAGGAGGAGGTGTTCAGTTGTTTTGAGTGTAGGGTCCTAAAGGTGTTGGACTGCAACGGCAACAAGAGGGCCCAGCATTTGGTCAGGGAGTGGTTTGCTCGATCGCGTTGGGTGAGTAGAGGAAGGTGTGGTATGGTATTAGTGGTGTTGATGCTGTACAGGTTATCTGTGTTTATGACATGAGCTCGAAGGATTCATTAAGGCAGGCGTTGGAGCTGATGAAGGAGGGGGGACGAATGGGCGCTAATGTGAGAATATCTTTTGTGCATGCGTGCTGAAGTAGATTTTCTTCATAGTGCGGTGAGAAGGAATTTACACTTGTGTTCGTGTGTATGCCGCGGTGTGAATCGTCTATAGCAGAGAAATTGGAGAAAAGACTCCTTCTCCGAATTGATGTGCCTTTGCATGGGGTTTCTGCTGGTGGTCAGAAGTATAGTAGTAGTTGGAATTGGGCGAGAGCTTTTCAGCTCGGGAACACGTATACGAGGGGGCAATTTTGGCGGCCATCCAGACGATGTCACTATTTTTGTTCAATGGTTGTCGATCAGGTTCTCCTGTTTGGGAACCTCCAGTCAGTTCAAGCTGGCAAGGCAACCGCCCAGGTTGATGTGATGAAGGCTAAGGATGCGGCTGCTAGTGCCAATGCATTAGCGGTTGAGGGCAATAGACTTATGGATGCGGTAAGGGTTAGTGTAGAGTAGAGGGTAGCTAGGTAGAGGAGGCAGGTACGACTCATTCTGAGCGATCTCGATGCCAACAGATTTGCTGCGGCTTCTGCATCGCCACGGGCGGGCAGTGGAAAGGAAACTGTGGTGAGTGATGGAGTATTTGATTATTTGTCTTTGGCTTCAATCTGTTTGTTATTGTAGGTGTCCACGACAGGATCATCAGCATCATCGTCCTCGGTAGCAGTAGCAGCAGCAGGAGGAGGAGCAACACCGTCGAGCCGCGCGCTCCGTGCGGACTCCCATGCAAGTTCTCATACGCTGAGTGGGGCTTTGGAGACCTTCAAGGGCTGGTTTAAGGGCTCAGGTAGGGCCTTGGGTGGGTAGCGGTCTTGGTTGATGATGATGATGATGGTTTATGAAGGATAGTGATGTCAGGATCGTTGTCATTGCTAGGGCCATGGCCAAGGCTGGACCCTAAGCATGTGATTCGGGCAGGCTGGAGGCCATATTGCTCAGTTGTGTTGATGTGAATGAATACTCCTAGTAAACGTACAAACCCTCAGTGGTAGCAGTAGTAGTAGTAGTGTATTAATATCGATCTTACTCCATTATTGGAGTTTTCACGAACAAGAATCGTTATTGTTGTTTGTTCCTTACGGTTCCTTATCGTTATTGCTATTAATTTGATGCGTTGTTGTCAATGGGCGTCATCGTTCGTGATCAGATAATAAGGTTCGCCGCTCCAATGGGGTGTTGAAGGCCTCTTTACGTGGCAATAAGACTATGAGGGAGCGAGGTGGACCCAACAAGGACCCAGCAGTAGCGGACATTCGCCCTGTACAGGAAATACAGGTGAACTGACTATAAGCCTCCAGCCTGTCACGCGTTTTATCAGGACTCGGAAACTGCTGTGACCTGCATTGCATTTGGGCAGGAGAAGCTCCATCGCTCACACATTCTTCTGGCAGCTGCCTCTAAGGATGGTAGGAGTCGGCTGGACCGACGGCGTCCGCGTTATCAAGGCGTTCTTGATTACGATACGACTGATGATAGTCGCCTCGATGAGAGCTCTTTTATATAGATTCTTACTGTTGTATTTGTTGTTATCGCGTCGTCGAAGGTACGGTTGTTGTTTATCGATGCTACCGTACTGAGATGGAGCTGGCGCGTCTGGACCCGTCTGATTTCCCTAATGACGATGCCTCTGAGGCTCGGCAAGAGGCGGCCCCGGGGGCGAAAGTCGTCCTACATTCGAGACTGGTAGGATGCCTTTTTGCTATTCATTGGCTGTTGTATAAAGTTCAGTTGAAAGTTTTGTAGAGATGTATTAAAACTGTTGTTAAGTGCGTTGTTTCGATGCGTTGTCGGTGTTCAGGTTGGTCACAGTAGGGCGATCACTTCGATGTTCTTCAACCTTTTGGAGGATACCATAGTAACCACTAGTATCGACAAGTCAGTGCGCTTCTGGATGGTTGACACAGGAGAAATGCTCAAGGTTAGCTGAATTAAAACTGGCGTTAGTTATTGACCGAATCGTCGCTCAGGTTTTCACCGACAGTTCACCAGTGCCAGTGGCATGCTTCCTTCCTTTCAACCCGCAAGTGTTTGTAGCCGCAAACTCTAATGCGGTGCTTCGGT